GGAAAGAGAAAGAGAGAATGCATCCCCAGTGGCACTAGATAATGCTGCAATTCTCTTTTCCTCCTTTTTGTTTCTCCTTCCTGCTAAGATTATGGGTGCACATACACAGGTATGGTGTGTTTTTCAAGCCACTGAAGCCAGGATTTGAACTGTGGTAAGTCACACAGATTCTGGCTCCTGCATGACACAAGGGATTCACTATGGTGCTGCCCTTTAATTATATGTATTAATCAACATATATATGATATACAATGTTGTACACGTTTGTGTTTTTTTCACTGCATTAATACAATACATAATGATCTACATAGGGTGATGAACTTATCCACTATCTCAAACATATATCATTACTTTTGTGTGACAAATTCAAAATTTCCTTCTAGCTATTTGGAAATATTTATTGAATTGCCACACACTATAGTTGCTCTACTATATCATAGTAGTCTAGAACTCATTCCATTTATCTTTGTGTAATTTTGTAACTGTTAACCAACTTTTTCTATCCTCCCTGCTCCCTTTCTTACCCAGCTTCTAGTATTCACCCATATAGCCTCCACTTCTGTGTAATTAAATCTTCTAGCATCTAATAATGAGTGAGAAAATTTGGTTTGTATTTTGGTGCTTGGCTTATTTCACTTAGCATAATTTTCTCTTCACTCATGTTGCTTCAAATGATGATAATTTATATTTTTGATAACTATTTTATAATGTAGACATACCACAATTTTTCTATCTATTCATCAGTTGATGGACACTAGGGTCGATTAAGTATCTTAGTTATTGTTAATAGAGCTATAATAAACATGGGAGAGTATATATCTCATCCAGTAATATGTGGAATTATTGGATTATAGGTAGTTTTGAGTATTTTGAGAAATTGCCCAGACTGTTTTCCATAATGGCTGTACTAATACATTTCCTCCAACAAATATTTAAATCAGGAAAAATATAACTAATTTTTTTTTAGATCCCTTTATGGCCCAGCAAGTTAATAGTGAAAATTGTTTTTAGTCTGACAATAGAAGTCTGTATGTGATAATTAATAGGATATCCTGGGCCAGCCACTGGTACAGTCATTCAGGCAGCTCATTTCCACATGTGTGACTGCATGGTTCAAATTCTGGCCTCAGTAACTTGAAAAACACATCTAATGCTATGCCTGCATGCCTCAAATCCAGAAAACAGAAATGAAAGAGAAGGGATTGTAGCATGGCTAACCTCCACCAAGGGTGTACCTCCTCACTTTCCCTTTCTCCTGCCATCTCCCTCCAAGTACATGTACCCTCTAGCATTTTTTAAAAGATACTCTACTACAAATAAAAGAGAACATAATTATAATCAACAAACTAGTGAGAACAAAATGATAACAATAACCAACATGAAAGAAAGCAATAAAAAGGAAAAGTGAAATAAAATAAATATATCTAACAGAGTAAGTTACCTAGTAGTTTATACTCAAATGTATTAGTTATTTGTGAGTGCACTTAATAGTTCACCTTTAAAAATATTTTCAGACTTTTAAAAAATATATCTATATGATGTTTACAAGAAGTGTATCCAAAACATACGGACTTCAAAATATTGACTCCCAAATAATTAATCAAAAGAAGCTAGTAAAACTGCAAATTTCATTGCATTTAAGGAAAAATGTATTTCAAGAATCAAAGAAAATCCACTTAGAATGCCAAAAGAGGTTAATCAATATTCCAGAAAGATACAACTTTAAGCTTGTATGCACCTGAGACTATAGCCTCAAAATATATGAAGCAAATAGTAATGAATTTCTAAAAAATTATGTAGACCTATATACAACCACAGTGGGCAATTTTACAGACCATTCGCAATACTCGACAGAAAAAGTACTAAAAAATCAACAGTGATTTAGAGTAGTGCTTCTGAAATATTGCTTTGAGCTATTTAAAAACTTCAGATTCTCATTTATCAGGTCTGGATTGGGTCCAAGATTCTGTATTTTGAACTAACATCCAGATAAAGCTGATATTGCTGTGCAAAGATGAACCTTCATAATTAGTCAACTCAATCCAATGAAACAGTGAAGAGCAATACACTCAACAAGTAAAGAATAAATGTTATTTTCAAATATACAAGGAATATTTACCAAAAAAATGTTACTGAGACATCAATTAAGACTAAACAATATTCAATAGATTGAATTATATAATGTTTTCTAACCAAAATACAGTTTAGCTGAAAAACAATAAAAACTTAATCAGAAATGCATCATAGAAATGTAAAAAATAAAATGAGAAGTCATCAAGAAAATTAGAAAAACATATGGTTGAATAATAAACTACAATAAATCAGGTAAGTTATAAAAGAGATTTATTTACCAAATAACAGATGATGTTTATGCATATATTAAATATACATTGGAAGTGAAGAAATGTAAAAACCATAACAAATGAATTGTATCTAGATTGTGGAATTTTGCATACTTAGGAATATAACATTTTCTTTACTAAATCATTGATTATTTTGTATAGATTAAAAATGTTATTATGTAACAGAACCATAAAGAATTTAAAGTCACTGAAAAGAATCAGAAGAATATCAGAAAATATAAATACATCAGAAACAAATTATTAAAAAAAAATACTTCAAGGAGGAACCAGCAATTAGCGTAAATGGCTATGTCTCTGGACTCCCATGTAGTCGACCGTGGTTCGAGTCCCTGACCTAGTGGTTTAAACTCACGCCAGGTGTGTGTGCATACGTGCCCAAGATCCCAAGAGGAGAATGGAGGAGAAGTGATTGCAGTGTGGTCATCCCCCCAGGGAGTGATTTCTCACTTTATGGCTCTCTGTCTCTCTGTCTTTCTGGCAAGCACACACACCCTATAGCAAAAACCTCTCCAAACAAAAAATAATAATAAATAACTACTTCAATTGGTAATGTAGTATTAATAATATAATTAACTTATACATCTAAAATATTCTATTTTATTAGTAATAACATAAATGTTAGTTAAAATAACCAGATTTTATGTTTTATTTACTACATTAATACAATTTTTGGGTTTTTTTTTTGAGAGATTTTGGCTATAGGGCATGTGCACTTGCCAGAGAGACAGAGACAGACAGAGAGATAGAAAGTAAGAAATCACCCCCTGAGGAGATAGTCACACTATAATCCCTTCTCCTCCATTCTCTTGGGATCTTGAGCATACACTCACACACTTTCGACACAAGTTTTAAACCACTGAGTCCAGTACTCAAACTGCTGACAACTGTTTGAGAGTCCAGCAACATAACCATTACACGATCTGCTGGTCCCCAAATTTGTTTTTGATAATATGTCATACTGCGTTTTTTTTTTTCCTAAATAGTTGCTTTTGTACATAGATAGTAGGAATATATGTTTCTATATCCTTATGTAATTTGGCAGTACACGTAAAGAGCTTTAAAATAACACAGAAATATAGTGCTTCAGGACGTTATGCAAACATAAGTTTACATATATGAAATATACATATTTTAATATTTTGCCATAAGATTCATGTGCTTGCAGAAAGAGACAGAGAAAGGGAAAGTGAGAAATCACCCCACAGGGAGATTGTCACACCACAATCCCTTCTTCATTCTCCTCTTGGGATTTTGGACATGCACACACACACACCTGGCATGATTTTCAACCTCTGTGTCCAGGATTCAAACCATGGTTGCCCGTGTGGGAGTCTGACACTTTAACAACCATTCCAGCTGCTGGACCCATTATAGGTAATTTTTTTTGGTAAGAATTATTTATTTTAATTTTACTTATTCTTTCATTTATTTTTATTTGACCAGAGATACACACACACACACACACACACACACACACACACACACACACACACATATACACAGAGAGAGAGAGACAGAGAGAGAAAGTGAGAAAGCAAGCCACCAGATTCAGAACTCGAACCATAGTCAGCCATGTGGGAGTGTCCAGCACCTTAACCACCATGCCACTTGCCAGCCCCCAATATGGGTAATTTAAACACTTTTCTCCTTATCTGAAATTTTTGTACAAGATAAAAGGCATTTTCAAACATTCCATGAGGTACCAGCAGTTAGCATAATGGCTATGTTGCTGAACTCCCATGTAGTCGACTACAGTTCAAGTCTCAGACCCAGTGGCTTAAACTCACGCCGGGCACGTGTGTGTGCATGCCCAAGATCCCGAGAGAAGAATGGAGAAGGGATTGCAGTGTAGCCATACCCCCTGGGAGGTGATTTCTCGCTTTCTTACTCTCTTTCTTTCTCTGTCTTTCTAGTGAGTGCACGCACCCTATAGCAAAAACCTATCCAAAAAAGGAAAAAAAAATTTCATGAAAAATAAAATTCGTATTATTAAAAAAAAAAAAACTATGTAAGCATTTCAAAATTTTTTAATTCCAATGTCCATAAACATTTGATGCCCCCTTGTATACTTTTAATTACTATTTTATTTCTAACCATTATAAGTAACACTTGTAAAATAAAACTTACTTGTATCTCTCTATGTCTTTTTCATCATTAATAATATCCTTTTCCATTTCTTCTTTAGCTTGTTTAGCCCTCAATTTCCAATTTTCATAGTTGTCTATAGCTTCTTCAAGTTGGTAATGAATGTTTTTGTATAGTTCCATTATCTAGAAATGAAAAAGTTTTGCTAATATATACACTTAATGTTTAATCAATAGAAAATTCTTTAACTTAGAGTAGTTTTGATATAGACAAAAAGTTATTTACACATGTTTTCAAACTGTATTTGCTGTGTTGTTAATAAGTGGAGTTGTAGGTGGTTTCCTTTATCCTGAAAATGCTGGGAATGTACAATAGTTACTGAAGGGACCAGCAGTTAGCGTAATGGCTATGTCGCTGGACTCCCATGTAGTCGACCGCGGTTCACATCCCAGACCCGGTGGCTTAAAACTCACGCTGGGTGCGTGTGCGTGCGTGCCCAAGATCCCGAGAGGAGAATGGAGGAGAAGGGACTGTGGTATGGCCATCCCCCCTGGAGGTTTATTTCTCACTTTCTGTCTCTCTGTCTCTCTCTGTCTGGTGAGTGCACACGCCCTATAGCAAACAAACAAACAAACAAACAACAAAAAAAAAACCTCTCCAAAAGTTACTGAAGGGGCCCCAGCCATGGATCCCATGTGTTGTTAATAAGTGGAGTTGTAGGTGGTTTCCTTTATCCTGAAAATGCTGGGAATGTACAATAGTTACTGAAGGGACCAGCAGTTAGCGTAATGGCTATGTCGCTGGACTCCCATGTAGTCGACCGCGGTTCACATCCCAGACCCGGTGGCTTAAAACTCACGCTGGGTGCGTGTGCGTGCGTGCCCAAGATCCCGAGAGGAGAATGGAGGAGAAGGGACTGTGGTATGGCCATCCCCCCTGGAGGTTTATTTCTCACTTTCTGTCTCTCTGTCTCTCTCTGTCTGGTGAGTGCACACGCCCTATAGCAAACAAACAAACAAACAAACAACAAAAAAAAAACCTCTCCAAAAGTTACTGAAGGGCCCCAGCCATGGATCCCACATAGTTGGCCATGTGTTCTGAGATCTGACCCAGAGTTTGGAGGAACAGCCCAGGTGAGTGTGTTTGCATGTGCCCAAAATCTGAGAGGAGGGACAAATGAAGAAGGGATTATTGCATGATCATATCCCACGGTGGTGCTTTTTCTCTTTCCTTCTCTCTGCTTCTCTTCAGCAAGCACATGCACCTTCTAACAAATATTATTTAAAAAGTTATTGAGGGAGCAATAGATGGTGTAGCAGTTATGTTGCTGGACTCCCATATGGTCAACCACAGTTTGAGTCCTGTGCCCACTTCCTTGAAACACTCTGGACACGTGTGTGTGTGTGTGCCCAAGACCCCAGGAGGAGAATGAGAAGAAGGAATTGTGGCCATCCCTCTTGGAGGGGGTGATTTCTCACTTTCCCTATCACTGTCCCTGTCTGTCGGTTTCTCTTGCCAGCTAGTGAACATACCCTAAGGCAAAAACGTTTACCAAAAAATAAAAAAATAAATAATTAAGGGGCCAGCAGGTTGAATAATGGTTAAGGTGCCAGACTCCCACATGGCTGACCAAGGTTCAAGTGCCAGGCCCTGTGGCTTGAAACTCACGCGAGTTGTGTTTGTGTGCACGTGCCCAATATCCCTAAAAGAGAATGGAGGAGCAGGGTTTTAGGCATGGCTACCCTGCCAGAGGAATGATTTCTCACTTTCTGTCTTTCTGTCTCTCTGTCTCTTCAGTGAGCACACACACCCTATAGCAAAAATTTCTCTCAAAAAGAAAAAGGTTATTGAAAAAAATAAACTCAAATCTTGGCTAATATGTCCATGACAAAAGTGTTATATTCTTACCCACAAAATTATATTTTTTCGCTCTTAGTCTTTAAATATCATTGTATTGTAGAAAACAAATGAACAAAAAGTAGAAATTAAAATAGCCTGTACTCACCTTAAGTAACTATTATTATCTTAGTGTCATGGTTCAAAATAATACATTTTTACTGTTTTTTTTTTAAATAAACAAACATAAACATTGCCCCTCCCATCTTTCCTTTCTGTACTTGTGCGTCTGTCTGCCTGCCTGTCTACCTCTGCATCACGATGTTACTTGGACATACTATTCCCTTATATTGCGGCTTACTCATTGTTCAACTCATCAGCAATAATATGAACATTACACACAAGCTGCTATGCACACATTATAAAGGATATATAACATAAACATTATGTAATGAACACCATAAGCAAACCACACAACCAATAGATAAATTGCACATCCTTAAATATTTTCTTCAAATGAGTTGCTAAAGGACAAGTTACTAAGTTAAACAGAAATGACAAATATTTTAAGAAATTTGATTATACTGGTTGCCAAATTACTCTTCAGAAAAGGGAGAGAGTATATTCACCTGTAAAAGAGAGGACAATTCATATTCCAAAACCTATTTCTGCATTTTTAATTATTTTTTTCCAAGAAAATTTAGGGGCCAGCAGGTGGTGTGGCGGTTAAGGTGCTGGATAGCCACATGCCCATCTGCAGTTTGAGTCCTGAACCTGGTAGCTTGCTTTCTCATTTTCTCTCTGTCTCTGTGTTCTCTCTCTGCTGAGTGTACATGACCCATAGCAATTTTAAATAGTAATAATAACAATAAATACAATTAAATAACTTTTAAAAAGAATATTTTCAAATTGACAGACAAATGTTGTTTGTGTAAGTTATACTAAAAAGTTATGAGTTTTACTTATTAATTTTGGTATGGTTGATGCTATTTATTATGGTAAGACTTCCTGTCAGAACATGTTATGTATCTATAGTAATTGTCTGTTTTCCTAAATAAGATATTAGCCTTTTTCATCTATACCTTTATACATTTCTTTTTTTAAGAATTATTTTATTTAACTTTATTTATTTATTTATTTACTTTTTTATTTATTTTAATTTGACCAGAAAGGGACAGAGCGAGCAAGAGAGAGAAAGTGAGAAAGCAAGCTGCTAGATCCAGGACTCAAACTGTGGTCAGCCATGTGAGAGTCCAGTGTCCTTAGCCACCATGCCACCTGCTAGCCCCTATACATTTCTTAATATTTATTTAAACATTCTTGCTGGTTACAAGAATTTTCCTGGAACTGGCAAGTGGTGTGGTGGTTAAGGGTTCTGGACTCCATCATGACCAACAGCAGTTTGAGTCGTGGACCTGGTGGCTTGATTTCACACTTTCTTGCTCTCTCTCGCTCTTGCTCTCACTCTTGCTCTGTCTCAATCTGGTCAAATTAAAACAAAAAATAAGTAAATAAATAAAGTTAAATAATTCTTTAAAAAACAAAAGAAAGAATTTTCCCTTCAGGGACCAGCAGATAGTGGAATGTTTATGTTGTCAACTCCCATGTCATCAACCACAGTTTGAGTTCATCTGGTGGCTTGAAATTCATGCCAGGCACATGTGTGAGCATGCCCAAAATCCCAAAGGAGAATGGAAATTTATTTATTTATTTACTTTTTTATTTATTTTAATTTGACCAGAAAGGGACAGAGCGAGCAAGAGAGAGAAAGTGAGAAAGCAAGCTGCTAGATCCAGGACTCAAACTGTGGTCAGCCATGTGAGAGTCCAGTGTCCTTAGCCACCATGCCACCTGCTAGCCCCTATACATTTCTTAATATTTATTTAAACATTCTTGCTGGTTACAAGAATTTTCCTGGAACTGGCAAGTGGTGTGGTGGTTAAGGGTTCTGGACTCCATCATGACCAACAGCAGTTTGAGTCGTGGACCTGGTGGCTTGATTTCACACTTTCTTGCTCTCTCTCGCTCTTGCTCTCACTCTTGCTCTGTCTCAATCTGGTCAAATTAAAACAAAAAATAAGTAAATAAATAAAGTTAAATAATTCTTTAAAAAACAAAAGAAAGAATTTTCCCTTCAGGGACCAGCAGATAGTGGAATGTTTATGTTGTCAACTCCCATGTCATCAACCACAGTTTGAGTTCATCTGGTGGCTTGAAATTCATGCCAGGCACATGTGTGAGCATGCCCAAAATCCCAAAGGAGAATGGAAAAGAGATTGTGGCGTGGCCATCCTCCCCGGGTGGTAATTTCCCGCTTTCCATCTGTCTCTGTCTCTGTCTCTGTCTCTCCAGTGAGCACACACACCCTATAGCAAAAATCTCTCTTAAAATTTTTTTTCCCTTCATATTTTTAATCATTTGTTGTCAATATGGAGAAAATTATTTCTACTCATGTTGGTAAAAGTATGTTGTATTTAGGTGACTTAGATTTAGTGAATACTGACTTTTTAAAAATTCTATTTGATGTTTTGGTTATAATAATACAAACATAATTTCATTACTTTTAAATGCAAATCTTTTGTTCTGTTTTACTGTCTTATCACATCAACAAAAATCTTCAAAAGGATATTAAGCTATAATGGGAATGTCAGATATACCTGATTTGTTTCTATTAATCCATGAAATAGATGTAGTGTTTCAATGATTAATATGAATGCTAGTAATCTTTTTGAAATAATCCTTTATTTATATGTAAGAAATTTATTTTTATTTTAGTCATTTATTTATTTCCAGAGATTTCAAATGATAACAAATTAATCTCAACCATTTTTAATAAAATCATGTATTTTCTTTTCTCATGTTGATACAATAAATTATATACCTAGATTTTCTATTGTGGAGCTATTGCTGCATTCATGAAGGGTTCTTTTGCAAACAATTTATGTAATGTTTTCAAGTATATATATTTATTAGTAAACTTTGTATATAGTAATTTTTTAAGGGAGATTTTTGCTATATGGCACGTGTGCTCACTGGAGTGACAGAGAGACAAAAAGCAAGAAATCATCCCCCAAGGGGGCCGGCTACACCTCAACCTCTTCTCCTCCATTCTCCTCTCGGGATTTTGGGCATACAAGTACACACATGCCCGGTGTGAGTATTCAGCTGCCAGGTCCAGAACTCATACCTCAGTTGACAACGTGGGAGTCCAACGATGTAACCATTATGCCATCTGCTGGTCCTAATAATATTTTTTTTCTTTTTTTTTAAAGAAGAGTTTTTGTTTTATACAGGGTGCGTGTGCTTGCTGGACACACACACACACACACAGAGAGAGAGGAGAGAGAGA